GTAACTACTAAGACTATGTTTGGCACATAAAAGTCCCTAGCTTCTAGCTTTTGTATTATTAAAAAAGACCTTAAAAGATTTTAGTTGTGTGTTTGGCAGAATAGCTTTTTTAAGGAGTCCAGTTTTTTTAAGATCTTTTCAGTTTTTGATTTCCTCGTATAACCCTGCGCCCCCCTATGCCGTTCTTCTCTAACGCAACTGCTCCCTATTTTTCATCTTCCTCATCTTGCTTATACAACTCTTTCTTCATAGCAATCTCCATATGCACGTGTTCAAGCTTCTCTGATCCCCGATTTCACTTTATCGGTTGTTGTTGTTAGGGATATGTTCGCTAATTTTTTGATAGTTTTATTTATTAATATATAACAAAAAACTGTGTTATCTTCATCTATATAATTCATGAAATTTGCTCATAGTCCGTCTGCCTCATATCAACTACCTCAATGTGTGTGTGTGTATAGAAAATTTGATTAACTTCTGATAAGGCAATTTATTTGTTAATAATGGTGTTAAATGTAATAAAAAAGAGTGTGCTGAGGAATGAGGATACATAGCAGAGCTGGACGAACAGCAGGTTGACCTGTGAGACCGAATTAGAGGGAACAAACCAGAAGTTAACCTGTGTCACCATGTCCCGGTGGTCAGTTCACACCGGGAAGGCAGGAACACCAATCATACCATTTGTTGGATGCAAATACCATGTTTCTTATATAGTTTGGATCCCTATAATCCGTTAATGGTGCTTTCATTGAGAGATTAGAGCAAAATCAAGTTAGATTCCTCTCAAAATATCCAAAAATATACAAGAAATAATTCAAAAACAGATCTGATAATGTCAAAAAAAAGCAACAAATAAGATCTGAAAATTTGCATCTCGAATTTCCGATGCAGTAGCTGGAGATGTCTTTGTCGGAAAGGTCATCGCCCTCCTGGTCGCCGCCTTAGGCCTAAAGCATAAGCTTTCCGCCTGCTAAAGCTCACCAGCCATTCCCCAGGTCTGAGCTGAAGCCTCCGCACGCCACCCACTATAGCTCACGGCACCAGGTGTAACACCGTCCCCAAATGTATTTATCTTTAAGCGAATAATTTATTGAACCCTATGAAATTTTTGTGAATTTACGAGGTTGTGAATTTGTATTAATTTTTTCGCGTGAATAGTAAAATGCACGTGGGGCCCACATCGGGAGTGGGGACCGCCCGATATTATCGGGACCACATATTATATTCATCTGGGTCTAAAAATATTTATAGATGGTGGATACTTCATTTGGGCCATGGAAAGGCCCAGAGTTGACCGATTGGTCAATGGAGGCCCAAATACCGGTATCGATAAATTTATCAGATAAAAGCCCGAAATTGGATTTTGGAGACTTATAAATTAAAGTTGGGGAATGCATATTCATTCTAAATGGTATGATGATTAAGAACACGTAATAGATTTATTTAACCCGATAAAATAAAATATATCTAAAACAGTCCGGAAAATACAACTTTCGGGGCAAATTGTACACTTTGGGACAAATTAGGATGACCTCCCACATAGGTGGGAGCCACCCCACGAATTTTTCAACCCTTGGGGGCTGGATGAGTGCTAAGTTGGCTGAATAACAATTGATAGGATGGGGGAGACACCCTTGACACTTAGTATACCCCATCCCTTCACTCATTTGTCTAAATGAGACAAAAACCACCCCTCTCACCTCACCACCTCCACCCACTCGTAGCAGCACCCAAGGATAGCAAGGAGGAGCTCTGAAATTCACCATTTTCACACCCAAATTCGAGCTCAAGGTGGAGGATCCAAGGAGGAGTGTTTGGAGAAGGAAAAAGGTGTAGGAAAGTGTGGAAATTGAGGTAATCACCTTGCCATAGCTTTCCCTTTATTCTTCTTCTACCATGATGAATATTTATTATATGAAGAACCCTTGGGGTGGTTCTCCATGCTCTAAGTATGGATTTATGGGTTGGAAAGTGGTTCTATGTCCAAGAACGGACTTAGAAGCCAAATCGACCGGTTTACCGGAAAATAACCTTTTATAGGTTATTTGTGTTGATATGGGTTTTGTGATGATAAAACCTTGTTAGGAACTTGATTTAAAGTATTTTTTAGCTTCGCCGGAGTTTCGTCAGAGTTGGTCAAAGTTCGCCGGAGTTGGTCAAAGTTCGCCGAAATTAGTCAAAGTTCAATCGAGAAGCGTAGAACGCGCTTAAGCTTAATTAAGGTGAGGATGACCGACTATGTTGCTTATAATCTTTGGGTTAATTTCATGGGATTTCCTAAGTGAATACAAATGTGATGTGCATGGGTTGTTAATGGTTAATAATGCCTAAATAAAACTACTATTGATTATAAGTATAGTATGCATGATATACAAATTTGTGAATAAATTGTGTATGTTTAGATGTTATGAATATGAGTGTATGATGGTTGTACCAACCATGAATTTTATTTGAGATAGTACTCTTTGATACCATGAGGAGAAGTCATGAAGGTATAAAAGTGATACTTGATATTAAGGCCAATCATGCATGAAGGAAGAATTATATTGGAATAAATAAATAACTAGCATTGAAACATTAGTTGGAAATGTTAGTTGAGAAAGGGATGAATTAGATCCTAAGAATTTGAATTATAAAGAATCGGTGATTATGAGCCGGGCTCGAGACCGATGTAGATAACGGTGATTATGAGCTGGGCTCTAGACCGATGTAGATAACGGTGATTATGAGCTGGGCTCTAGACCGTAGTAGATGACGGTGATTATGAGCTGGGCTCTAGACCGTGGTAGATGACGGTGATTATGAGCGGGGCTCTAGACCGTAGTAGATAACGGTGATTATGAGCTGGGCTCTAGACCGTAGTAAATAATGATGAATTGATACTAAATGAACGGATTAACTATAATGTAATAATGCTCTAGATTGAGGGCCTCAGAGATTTAAACTTCGATTATACTTAGTATAGTTGTCATTGTACTTGTCAAATGTTTCCAAGTACTGACCTCCCCTTCACGGGGGAGGCCACCTCACAGTTTCAGGTAGAACTTGAAGGTTGCTACTACCAGCCGCTGTTTCGGGAAGTTTCTGAGAAGAAGACTTGGTTCGTGCTTCTTCCGTTCTTGTTTTGAAAACAATATGAATAATGCTCATGGATATTATTTTCTGAATATACATTTCGGGGGTTTGTATACCCATGTTTGCCAAGTGTGGCTTGAACATTTGTAATGTTGTTTCCGCTGTTTTAAATGAATGATTTACATTATGTTTGTTTGTGGATGTACTATGTGTGAATGATATTCATGACGCCTTGTATAGTATGGATGAGTTGGACTGTGGTTGGCTATTCGTACTGTACGGCGGGTTGTTGACGTGTCCAGCTAGGTCCGGGGCGTGACACCAGGTATGAGCTCCTCCGTCACAACCTTGTCAGCATTGCTCCTCGTCGTTGCGCCACCGCACTGGTCTCTATCACGGCTCGATTGTCAGGGCCTAATCCATTGTAAGTATCTGTAAAGCCGTTTGACTCAGCTCCTGGAGCTTGACCTCGAGAATCCGCCATTAATGGCCACTGGGAAGCTCCGCCCTCAAGCCAGAAGCCATCCTAAGGAGGCATCACTAGTACAAAAAAGGCTTTTCATATCGGTCAAAAAAGGCTTTTCACATCGGTCAAACAATCGATGTGGTTCCAGCACATGTGAAAAGTATTGACTTTTGACATCGGTCAAACAGCCGATGTGAAAATTCTTTCTACATCGGTCGTTTAGTGCCTGATCTAGAAGATAGTCCGAAACAACGTTTTAATGATATTTCACATCGGTTATAACCCATGTAGAAAAGAAACAACATCGGTTATTTTACAACTGATGTAGAAAAGCTTCAATTTTTCCCAGAGCATAGGGTTTTCACATCGGTTATAACTTATAACCCATGTAAAAAAGAAATCACATCGGTTATTTCACAACTGATGTGAAAAGCTTCATTTTTTTTCGTAACATATGTGTTTCACATCGGTTATAACTCATGTAGAAAAGCAATCACATCGGTTATTTCACAACTGATGTGCAAAGCTTCAATTTTTTTTGGAATTTTTCATGAAAAAAATTTGCAATATCAACACTGTTTATACTATAATCACATCATTAACAGTATCATCAACTACTATAGCACAATTTTTCACCTGTTCACTTGATTCATCTAAAACAATAACACAAGCTATTTTTCAATTCTTCCACAAATGTTAAACAAGTTCAAGTAACAACTTAGTACATAATAATAAGCTAAAATAAAACAATACGTGCACACGTCTAGAGTAATAACACATTGTATAGAGTTACAAGTCTCATCATCACTCAAAAACTTAAATTAACAGGTTCATCATGTGTTGTTGATGGATTGCGTCATTTCTCAGAAATATGATGCCCAACAAGTTCGTACTTCATCAATCTCTTCTGATGAGAATGGTTCCAGATTGGCGAATCGATACAAATTAAATAAGAAGGTTATTAAAAAATATTACATGTGGAGCAAATCTATTGAATGTAAATAAAATAATAACATACCTAATCCCACATTTCAAGAATTACCACCGAAACAATATTCAACATATGCAACATCACTTAATAACCACACTTAGCTCATTCACGAATTATAGAATATCAAACTTATCAATGTAGTTGGAAGATTTGAGCAATCATCGGTAAGTGAAGGGCACAAACTGATTGTCATAGCATAAAAATGGGTCATTTCAGCATCAACTAGTTGGGGAAAGGGCACAAAAATGCTACTCAGATAAAATATAGCAAACTAAAAGTATAAAACTGAATATGACTGCAAGAAGGAAGTGTTGCACAAAAAGCATGTAACAAAAAAAATAATTGAAACCACATATGATTTCTTACTGCATACAACTCATTTGAGAACTTTTAGTTGCTATAACATATTTAATGCATTGAAACAACAAGTGCCTTATTTATAAGATTCTTCTCACTGAACTTAAGTGACTCACGATCATCCTTGGATTGGCTTGATTTAATTTTTTCTTTGACAATTTCCAACTACAGAAATAATGTAAGATTAGATGGAAAATCTCCATGCTATGAATTCAACTGCATGTTGTTTTCATTATCATTTTGGAATATATAATGTATCTATTTTGACTTTCCACCAAAACTGCTAAAATCCAAAGTAACAGAATTACTATGATTTCAAGATGTGTAGGTAGTAAGTCCATAAAAAAGGAGCCCTTAGTGCGATGGAGTTGATGCAAAGTTAGCAGAAATTTCACAGGAAGGGAAGCTTTAAAGGTTAGAGGTTAGCACTTAGCAGTTGTTGAAAAGCCAAGGAAGACTGCAGAATATAGACTTCACTACAAAATAAATTGAAAATAGAGGAAACCATATTTAATTTGTTGTTGTAGAAAATTCCCTAAATAAGAGTAAACCATAGCACATCTCTTCAAATAAGAGTTTCATAGTTTTGTTCCAAAATAGGACTCATTCACTCCTATTTTAGGAAGGTTTTATTGTTTTATTCTTTAATAGGACTAAATGAGTCCTGTTTGGGAGTAATGCATACTTAGTCCTCCTCTATCTCTCCACAATTAACTATGGAGGTGGAAAAGACAATAGCAAACTGTCCTTTAAAGTTTTAAGTAATGTTATTCTGTTCTACAAGATGAAAAGAGCACTAGCCATCAAATGAGAGAGAAGAGATTTGTTTAATTAAACGCATAAAAATCAGGAAAGTTCATTGGGTGAATGGATAAATTCAAGGAAGAAGAGACGCTTTGTAGAAGCAGAGAGAAAACCATTAACTTGCTATAGATATAGATTAGGCTTTGCATGATCACCATAAACACGAGAAAATTTACTTTGAAACAACAGTGCAACTTATTTCAAAGCATTTTTACCATTCAAATTTGCAGGAGAAAAAGAATTTGTTGGTAACCACTTTCATGCAGCATATACTTTTAAAAAGTTTACTACCTCACAGAATAAAGCATTGATACACTTCATCTCCTTTTCTTCCACGTTTAAGAAAACCTGAGAATGAGTTAGAAATTGAGATAAACACAAATAAGAATTCCAGACATAGCATATCTCATCTTATAGGAATTAGTGTACTTAAATAATAACAATACTAATCATAATAAAGTGCAAGTATCCCTTATATTCATGTACAAGAACAACCCCAAGAACTGCTTGATATATGTTAGTACCTGTTGCCTGCGCTTTACTGGAAGCTGCGGGAGAACATCCTTTTTTAGTCTGCGAATCATAACAGTTGCTTTCATCAAGTTGTGCAGCTCTTCATGATTATTGGCCCCTTGATAAATTCCAAAAGTGCCCTAGAATCATTAACAAAGAAGGTAATCGTAATTCGCGAGGTAGCAGTCTCAAGATGATTATGTTTGACAATAAAGGTTACTAGCAGCTCGCTAAACCAGTAAACTTACACCCTTGCAATAACGGTTACCATACTCGTGAACATTCTTGTAAACATCAGGATATAGTGCCTCCAGCTGTGAAGTACAACAATTTTAGTGCCAGCAAACAACAATTTCGAACACAACAAAATTACTATATGAAGTTACTTGTCCAAACATACCTGTTTAAAAAGCTCAATTGGTCTTGACAAAGCAGGGGTTCCACTAAGCGGTATCACATATTTGGGTTTCTATAATAGTCAGTAATGTGAGTTCATCAATGAAAATCAAGCTCCCTTGGTTTAATGGAATGAAGAGCCCACAATGAGCCTTTGAAGGACGGGAAAAGGGTTGAGTCTCACTCAAGTGCATTGTTTAGTAATCTATTTGATTATCATTTTGCACTCTTTATTTTTAGAGAAACCCATACGCAAGAGAAAAGATACATTATTATCTATCAGTACTGAAGGGGATCACAATATGACACTAATAGGAGAAGTCAGACCTAGTGGGCAAAGCCTAAATTCAACAAGTCTAAGAAAAGGAGATGCATGCAACGCTTGACATTTTGTAATAAAAAACAAGCATCACGCTAAGTTATAGATTTGGTTAAAGCATATGGGAATGAGTGCATGACTGACTACAGTTGCTTCCAGAGCATGAACATTTGTAGATAACTTAAAAATTTAACTATATATACAATAAATTTGCAGAACGTAATCCCTCAAAAAAAAATGGAGAACATATTTCATGACATAACATAAACACATAGAAAGGTTTTTTATATAGTTCTTTTTGCCTTTTTGACAAGCACTTACCCGCATAAATACAATAAATTTGCAGAACGTATTCCCTCAACATAACAGTGTCTTCATTTGGGCACTTACAATGTTCTAAAATTCGCTATGCACTAGTCGGGCGGTCAAGCACCGCCTAGCGCCTAGGCGGACTAGGCGCCGATTAGTCGCCGACTAGGCGGCCAACTCGGTTTCAACATAATACCAAAAATATAATTATTCTTGGTAAAAAAGACTACCATAAACAAATAAAGTTTAATTTTTTCACTTATAGCCAAGGTGAAAACATCCCTAATGCCTATGAGGCCATGATTGTAGCTCCTTTCACGGTTTCAACACCTAAAATCCAAATTGAAATTGAGTACTTTAAATTGGGACATGTGATGGAATTGTGAAACAAAAAAGAGCTGCAGAGTGGCTCTTTGTATCTAAAGTCACTAAAGGTGAAGTAAACATATGTGTGTGTGAAGTTCAAAGTAAATTAATTTATCTATCTTTTACATCAAAAGATAGATAAAAAATCTGTTTACTTGTCCCCTTGTTTGAAGTGTTTCTAACAACTCCCCAAGTAACATGATTATACCCTTATAATTGCTGGGATTGAATGTTATCATTGAGGGTTTTTGAAGTTTTTAAAGAATGTAGAATACATCAGTCCTGTAATCACAAAGTAAGACTAAAAACTCACTATGACATAAGTGATGCTAGGGCAGATATTTCACTTAAAGCCAACAAGGTGAAAACATCTCTAATGCATATGATTGCAGGCTTGCAGCTGCTTTTACAATTAGAAAAGCATACTTCAGATCAGTGCATATGATTTTAAAAGAGACAAAGAGTATCGGCAGAGAAATTTGGTCTTTATATTATAAGTCAAGAAATGATTTTTTTTGAAAACTTCTTTATTTTATAAGTCAAAAGTTTTCATTTCTTCTTTGAGGAATTTTATCAAACACCATAGTTGCACTCTAAATTCCTATCAGCATTAGGCAATAAATTACTCAATCTGCATACAAACTATCTCTTAAGCATATGTCTCAAGAAAAATTGGGATATTCTCAAAAAATCTTAATAACAAGTGAAGTAACCACAATAAATAGTTGAAATATGAAGTATTCATTCTAGAATTATGAAGTATTCAATCCCTTACATTCCAACGGCAGATTTCATACATTTAGTTTCAAATATAGCAACAGAATCATGGTAAAAATAGTTTAGAAAACCAATAAAATTATACCTTTAGAAAAAATAGCCATCTGACGAAAGTCCGCTCGCTCAAAGATAGGTCGAAGAGGAAGGTTCGCCTACTCGAACTCGAAAGCCGCCGGAACGTTGTCTGCTCGAACACCTTCCGTTGTCTACTCGAATACTTTCCGCCATTTGCTCGAACGCTGTCCGCCGTCCACTCGAGCGTCGTCCGCTTCCGCTCGAACGCCGTCCAGTGGCCGCTCGAACGCCATCCACTGGCATCTCGAAGTCCGTCCAAAGCCCTAACTCGCTTAAGGGCGGGCTGCTCTAACTTGCCCTTCTGTCTCGTCGGTTTTAACGGATCTAAAATAAAGTTTCATTAATTCTGAAAATTACCCCATTTTTCTTTTCACATCGGTTGCAATTATAACCGATTTAGATTATATCTTAAAATTTAAAAAAGTACCATGTTTTGGTGTTTCACATGGGTTATAACTACAACCTATGTAAAAACGTTTATAAAAATTATAAAAATGACCCCATGTTAGTATTCTACATGTGTTTTAAAATAACACATAAAAGGAGGTGTAAAAAGCCTTTTTGTACTAGTGCGTGGGGACGCCCCAAGGCCCAAGCTGAGGAACCTACCGACCAAGGAAGCCCCAAGTCCGAGCTCCGCCCCGAGGATACCTTGCAGTTGCAACCAGAGCTTTCAGGGTCTTCCCTCTCCGACCGGAAGCAGTGACCTCGATTTTTTAGCTTGATGTGATAGTAGGTGATGAGGGTGAAGCTGCGACCAGATCCGTGTCCTCTCCTTTTCCGGCGGCTGCAATGAAGATAAGCAGGTTCCGTCGTATTACCTGCCAGTCTCGTTTGAAGAACGTCCTGGCGCATTGACTGCTAGCAGTTGATAGCTTAGCTGGAAACTTGGGCCAAAAGGGAAGCAATGGACCAGCCCACCAACGGTCCAATCACGTTCTTCAACAGCCCAAATTCCAGAAACACATTTATCTTGCCCACTTAAAAACTAAGTACCCCAAATTTTCTCCTACTTATGCATTAAATATGGAGCTAAATAGTTTCACTATTATTATTATTATCTCTACCTTCTACCCGGTTAAAGTCTCCAAAGTGGTGCAAATCGAGCTTTAGTCTACCGAACATCTTTATTTGATGATTCAGATTATATTTAGGTCCCTCGACCTACCCCGGTCACCTTTATTTGACGACTCGGGCATCTAAAAATGAGAGCCGCTATCGGCCGTGCACAACATTATGACTAAAAGCGGTAAACGATACACCTCATTCTCCGAGACGCTAATCGCGTCGCCCAAAGCCGTTGCCATGAACAACGCACCTATTGTGTTCCGCTTATTTTGTAAATTTAAGCAAACGATATCGCATATCATATCGACCCCTTAGAGCGAAACGCTCAGGTATGGCCGACACAACACATTGTATCGACCCCTTAGAGCGAAACGTTGAGGCATGGCCGACGATGTCCCAAGATGGGGGGCCCGCAAACGGCCCACATCTTGAAATGAGAAGCTCACTGCGTCGTCCTCACGATAAATTGCAGGACGACAGGCCTGAAAGCATGGCCGAGGTGACAAAAATCCCCAAACTTGGGATTGGGAAACGACAGCCATCGGTAACCGACCAAAAGCTTTAGCCCGCGCCATAAATAGACAACGGGACCTCCCCGAGATCACAGGACGATCCAGTAGGACTCCCTACCAGCCAAGGAAATAGCAACCCCCTCGGTCGAAGCTTGAAAGAAGGATACCCACTCCTCGCTCAAAGAAGTAAAGAGGAAGAAAATAAAAGAGGGACAGTCGAGGACCGTGCACTCGCCGGCCTGGAGCGAAATCCCCACAAATCAATAGAGGGACAACCGAGGACCGAACACTCGCCGACCTCGAGAAAAATCCCCACAAATCAAAAGAGGGAAGCCGAGGACCGCACACTCGCCGGCCTCGAGCGATAAAAATAAAATTCCCACAAATCAAGCCACATATTTAGCTAAGTACATATCAGGCAAATACAATGCATTATGGTTGAAGAAAGACCATACATGCGGATCAGATGAGCGCCCAACACCGTTCTCATCTTCAGACGAGCGCTGAGCGCCGTCCCTCATCTTCAGACGAGCGCGCACCATCGTACCTCATCTTCAGACGAGTGCCCAGCGCCGTCCCTCATCTTCAGACGAGCGCCCAGCGCCGTCCCTCATCTTCAGACGAGCGTCCAGCTGCGTCCCTCATCTTGAGACGAGCGCCCATCGACGTCCCTCATCTTTAGACGAGCGCCCAACACCGTCCCTCATCTTCAGACGAGCGCCCAACACTGTCCCTTATCTTCAGACGAGCACCCAAGCCGAGTCCATCATGGGACCGGCTCTGTCGCCTTTCATGTTCAGTCTGGCGTCAACGCCTTGCCCTTCATCACATTACGACCGACCCCTCAGCCTCGGCGTGATTATCTATATCAAGATCAGCTTCCTCAGCGCCGAGAGTCTTGAGCTAGCGATCAGGCTCGCCATCCCTTCCTGGATGGTGACCATCGCCTCTATATAACGGCTGGCTCATCATCGCCCCGTCATCATATTATCGGATTGGCTTCTCTGCATCGCCGTCCGCACATCACGATCGGCCTCTCGACCTCGACGTGATTATTCATCTCAGGACTGGCTTGCACCACCGAGGGTCTTGAGCTAGTGACTGGGCTTGCTATTCCTCTCTCGGATAAATGACTGTTGCCTTTATATGACGATCAGCTTCATCATCTCCTTGTCATCATTTATTGGAATGGCTCATCATCGCCGTCATCCTCACATCGCGGCAGACCCCTCGGTCTCAACGTGATCTTTTATATTGATACGGGAGACCCTTCGGTCTCAACGTGATCATCATACTCTGAACACTTGTCCCATCCTCTCACTTTATGGATAAGGACCGCTGCATGGACTTTTGGATCGGCCTCCCTCAGCACTGATACATCACGTCCATGCCTTTATATGACGATCAGATCAGCATTGCCTCGTCATCATATTTCGGATTGGCTCCTTCTCATCGCCATCCGCACATCACGACCGGTCCCTCGGCCTCGACGTGATTATCTATCTCAAGACCGGTTTCCTCAAAGCGGAGAGTCTTGAGCTAGCGATCGGGCTCACCATCCCTTCCTGGATGGTGATTGTCGCTTTATATGACGATCGGCTCATCATCGCCTCGTCATCATATTATCGGATCAGGTCCTCATCATCGC